CCCTTCCAACCCTGATATTCTATGATTCTAAGTCCCAAAAATCGGGACTGTCCCTATAAAACCGAGACATCTGGTCACCCTAGGTGGAAGTGAGTTGGTATCAGCTGGTATGGCGTACCGGTAAGAACCCGCACCGGCCTGTACACAGCCCACATTAAAGCACTGCCGTGGCAAAGGACCCTGCAGCACTTTAACATCCCTGCCCCTTTTGTCCCTGCTCGGCCGCCGACGGGCAGGGAAGGGAGCAGCTGCCCTGGGGCCAGTGATTTAAAAGGGCCCGGGGCTCTGGACGGTGCTGCCACTACCACGCTGTTGCTGGCACAGAGGGCCCGAGGGGGGCAACAGCGGGGTTCGTTGCCCAGTGTGCTTCGTGCCAATGAATACACCAGGGTGGAGAAGCAGACAAAGTTTATTCAAGAGCTCTGAATAGGCACTAGGAGACCAGCATGTCTCAAATCAAGCGTTCTGATACAAGCAGTTTTTCCCTTTTTATCCTCTTTTTTCCTTCCCTACCTCCCCCCCCTTCCTCCCCCTGCAGCAGTTACATTAAACGACCTTGGCTGTGTAGCTTGTTCGCAATGTTCCCTTCTGCAAGTTATTTTGTCCTTCAGCTAGAAGCATGTAGGTTCCCCTTATCACTACCGCTTTCCAGCTGCTGGCCTTTGAGGTTATAAAGTTTAACATGGAGGGGCTTTGGTTCACTTTGGCCTAGAGCGGGGGGGCTTCATCGACTCTCGTGGTCTTCCACCCCCCCCGAGTTACCTAGGGTGATGCCTAGTGACACCAACAACGCCAGCGGCATCCGGAGCCCCCGGGCCCTTTAAATCGCCACTGGAGCCCTGGGCGGCACAGGTCAGGGGGTCTGGAAGGGCTGGCTGGGGGATGCTGACCCTCAGCCCCACCCCTTCCACCTGAGGCTCTGCCCCTTCTGGGGCCGGAGTCGGCCCAGGCCCCATACCAGCAAGTGTCTGGAGTTACTTTCTCCCCTAGTTACGGGTGCCTGACACTTCCCATTATAAGAACCTATTGTCGACTGCTTATAACTTTGCCAGATTTAGCTGTTCAGGCTGAAGTTTTCTGTGCCAGGTGTCTGCCTCAGGCTGAATACTTTGGGGAAATGTCAGCAAAAGTGATTCAGCTGTTTCTCAGAATGAGGTTAGGGAAAACATTGTTTCACGCATGTTAAAAAGTTCTTACGACAGTTTTATTGAGAAGCTTTAGTGCCTCCATCATTTGGAGTAGAGACTTGAAATTTGCCAGAGGATTTTCCCAAGTGACAGGGATGTTCTTTTGCCATTCCCATGAAAATATGCCCAAAGTTAACCAAGTTATGAGCCTCTGAAACACCTCAGCTTGCACATTTTCAG